TTTATCTCAGGCTCATAGCAGCCCAGAGAGGTTCGGGAGCTGCAGGGCTTCAACCCACTCATCAACAGCCCTCGTTCTCAGCAACAAAATGTCTCTCTCTCTCTTCCCTTTTTCTCTTTCTCTCTCAAATTATTCCATTTGTCAAGAGGTAATTTTACCTTATAATATTGCCAAAATGTTCCTATGGAACCGTAGCTCAGAACTCTAGCAATTTCTTCCCGTATCTTTGGTCAAGGAGAAGCCAACCGTGATTTACCAGCGAATGCAATGGCCCACCACATCTTCCCATCTTCCCAGTGGGCCAGAAGGCAAATGCTCGGTGCAGCTGGTGTGACCCCCAGAGAGCCATTCCACCCCCTCTCAGTTTCCTCAGCTGTGAAATCAGAGACGGAAGTGATTATTTCCATGATTTAATTTAAAAAGTGGCTGACGTGGCCTCGCATGGCTCTCAGTACACAGAGGAACTGTTTGATTAATTTGATCAGTCTAGACTGGCAACTCATGTGGAGTTGGAGGCTGAATTATCCTGTTAGTCTCTTGGCTTTGATCTTGACCTGAACGAGAGTCAGATTTTCACGTCATACGGCAGGAGGGGTGGGGGAGTTCCAGACAACATCCACAATACTGCCATGCTCCGTTCTGGGGGAAACCTCAGTCACCCATCTTTTGGTGGCACCTGGTCCTATGGATCAGGACAGGAGGGCATCTTTGTGTAACTCCTGTTTATGGAGGCTTTTTAAAGCTGAAGCCAGCCCCAAACAGTTTGTGGCTTTATAGAAACAATGCACACATTTAGACTTTAGGGGTCAGGGGTAATGCTCTGTGGTGGTTCTGTTCAGTTAGCACATTGCCATTCAAAAATATTAAAAACCAAGGAATAAACCGGGGTCTTTGAGAATAAGAGCTCCTCCTCGGGAAGAGTCCTGGCTCACTGGGGGGTGACACACTCTCGGGGAAGGGTGTTTTGTTCAGAACAATGATCACCGTTGTTCTCCATGGCATACCTGGACCTGCTACCACCCCCTCCTCCTGGCCTTACACACAGAGAGAAGCTTGTTCCTTATTGTCCAAAGCCCTAGGAAGATTCTCGGAACAGGGCTCTCACTGATGTCACTGCCCGGCTTAGAGACACGGTCATTAAAATATTGACTCTAAATTTTTTCCCTGCAGTGACCTTGCTGCCTGTTCCAACAGCAAACCACGGCTGCTGTCTGCCCAGCTGGGTGCTACTTCCCTTTCACCACACGAGGGCGAGAAAGACGTGCCACTGGCCAGCTCCCTCCCAGGGGGTTGCCTGCTCCACAAGGAGGCTCAGGCTGCAAAATAAAAGTGATAATAGATGTGAAAGTTCTAGTGTTGGCTTAGGGAGAAAGGGCTACCCTGGTGGGGTTGGTTGTTTTTTTTTTTAACATAATTTTTCTCCAGAGAAGAACACATTACTTCAAATAATATGGAAGAATTTGCATTTAAGGATACATGTGTAAGAAGTCAAATGTGCGGTAAAAGAGAAAGTTTGATGATTTGGAGCAGAGGCCCTGTTCCCAGCGCTGCTCCTCTTGCTTCTGGACCATGTGATGTGCAGGACATCTGGGAAGGATATTGGGGAGGACAGGCCTTTGAAGAGCAGCAGAGCCACCAGGCTGGGTTATGGTGACTCTGTTCCTGATTTTGGGGTCCAGTTCTAGGCACACTTCAAAGGGTACTTGTCAAGGAACTTAAAATACCGTGTTAGCAAAGGCTGGGAAAATAAACTACAATTACATCATGAAGGAAGATAGGCGGGGCACCTGGCTGGCTCAGCGGGAAGAGCATGGAACTCTTGATCTCGGAATCTTCAGTTTGAGTCCCACGTTGGGTACAGAGATTACTTAAATGAATAAATAAATAAAAACTTAAACACACACACACACACACACACACACACACACACACACGGGAGGGGGCACCTGGGTGGCTCAGTGGTTGAGCATCTGCCTTTGACTCAGGTTGTGATCCCAGAATCCCGGAATCAAGTCCCGCATCGAGCTCCCTGCATGGAGACTGCTTCTCCCTCTGCCTGTGTCTCTGCCTCTCTGTGTATGTCTCTCATGAAAGAATAGATAAAATCTTAAAAAAGAAAAAAAGAAAAAAGAATGCCTTCTGATGACATGGGCAGTCCAGGGCTGGGAGAATCTGTATCAGTTTAAAATGGTTTTGAGGTTTTCTCCTTGATCTTGTATGGATCCCAGACTTGAATTAAGACCCCATTTATCAGCTGTCTTCAGGTGGGCCACCTGCCCTTTGCAGCCTTAGCTATAATTTCCTGCCCATGAAGCAGTCCCGCCAGGTTACAGAGGGCTGGGGCACAGAACTGTGACGGCCCCCTACTCGGCTCATTTTGTCACTTAGAGGCACTCCTCTCAAGCAGTCATGGCCAGCTCTAGGGTCCACAGCCAGGTCTGAGAGCCACGCTGAAGCCCAGCCCTCACGTACCTCCCTCAGCTGGACATTCGCGGTCTTGAACAGCTCAGGGCAGCCCGAGTTGACTCTTAGGTCCTTACCACCTAGATGAGTTCCAGCGCGCAGCATTCTTCCTACTTCTGGAAAATGACAAGGCACTGTCATCTTTAATATTAAAGGAAACAATAAGTAGAAGCTGTAGCTGTAATTATAGCATCTCAGTGTTGAAAGGGACTTTAAAGGGTCACCTGCTCCAATAATGACTTCACATGCCCATCACTGGATTTCACCCAAGTGCTTGGGAGCCACAGATTCTCTAGACTGCCCTGTTCTGCCTCCAGGCGGCATTATTGCTAGGAAGTTCTTCCTTATTTTAAGTCTGCCTGACAACTTCTAGGTGGCATAGCTGGCACCCACTGGTCCTTGTGCCCTCTGTGATTCTACAAGCAAGTTTTTTTTTTTTTAATCATTGAAAGTCTTTCCTTCACTGGTATGGTTAAATGTGGCATTAAGTGCCACTACCTACCTGATTGCTCTGCTTTGTTAAAGACGTTTCAAGGTGCTATACTCTGCCTTGAGGTCACCAGTCAGGAATGGTCTGATCCATACAGTGTCCAGTCAAACAGCTCACGGTTTTGAGCTGGACTTAAACTGTATTAGCACCAAGTGCTTGTATTACTAGTCACTTTTTTTTTTTTTAAGATTTTGTTAATTTATTCATGAGAGACACAAAGAGAGAGGCAGAGACACAGGCAGAGGGAGAAGCAGACTCCTCGCAGGGTGCCTGATGCGGGACTCAATCCCAGGACCCTGGGATCTCGACCTGAGCCAAAGGCAGATGCTCAATCCTGAGCCCCCAGGCGCCTCTAGTCACATCTGTTTTTAAGAAACAAAGCTTCAGAAAGGGTAGACTGGTCATAGGGCTGCTCTTTGAAGACCTTCTTAAAGTGTTTCTTGGAAAGCAGTAACTTTATTTGCCTTGCTAGGGAAGGTAATGTCACTTGCTCTTTTCTAACCTGGGGTCATTTTTAAGGCTGAACCTGGAAGTGATCTTAGAGATCACCCTAGGAGTCATATCTGATCGGTGACAATACAGGCCTAGAGAGATGTAATTGGCTCGAATCAAACACCGCTCCTTTCCCTTATGTTTATCTGCTTTGTCTCCACGTGGCTTATTTTTAAGACCCCACTTAAGTCTCGAGTTAAAGGGGGAAGGGGAACTGGGTGATGGTGGTGAGGGTGAGGTGAGACAGACCTGCAGGCTAGACAGAAAGGCAAGGGCACGAGGCCCAGGACAGCGTTGTTTCTGGTGCCTACGACCCAAGCCCGAACCCCGGAGGATGGGGGGCAGGGGTTAAGCTGTCCACACCAGACGCGTCTGCCCCTTCGTTTTACTTTGGGCCCAGTCAGTGTCCCTGGACTTGTCACAAGTGAGGGAGGCGGCGGGGCGAGGCCGCCAAGGGCCGGGCGGCAGGCAGGTGAGTCAGACAGGTGAGCAGGCCCGGCGGGGCGCACCTGAACTTGATTGAGCGCTGCGGGCGGGCGGGCGGGGCGGGGGCTGGGGGCGTGCACAGGGGCCCCGGGCCGTGGACTCGGCGCGGGAGGAGCCGAGCGCCGGTGCGGGTGCGTCTGGGTCGGGGCCCAATGATGTAAAACAGAGCGGAGCTGCTTGGCGCCTCGGCACCATTACCTGCAATTATAATAATTGGTGCCTCTGTGCAGCGTTTGCTCCCCGCCCCCAGGGCTGTCTCGCTCGGTCTCACTGTTTCTCCGCCTCGCTCTCGCTCCGGCCCCATCCGTCCGCCTTCGCCCTCCCCTCTCTGCATCCTCCCCTTCCCGACGTTCTACCCGCGGGGCGGGGCGCGGGGTGGGGGGTCCCTAAGACCCGATGTAACGTCCCGTTGATTGGTCCGACTTGCACCTGCCGCTGCTGCTCTATTTTCAACGGGGAACCCAGAGGGCTTGTCTTTGCCTTCACTTTATCCTTCAAGTGAAACGTACCTAGACTCTGCGTCCATTCCCATAAACCCGGGGCAGTGAAAATGTGTGAAGCCTGGAGTTGACTTTCCCAAAACTTCCAGCATCTGTCAATATGGAAGATTCCCCCTCGGGAACCACCCATCCCCATCACCCTCTCTCCATCTCCTGAGTCTTGGCTGGACCTTGGCTGAGGGTTGGAAACAAAAAGATTTCAGTCCTGAAGAGGCTTTGGCTGTACCTTACCCCTGACTAAACAAACAAACAAACAAACAAACAAACACAAGGATAAGCTCTTTTCTCTGCATTACCTGTATCAGTCAGTGGTCGGACTCCCCTATTTCTGGAAAAACTGTGCAGGTCTTCATAGCAAGATGACTTGAAGGATTAGGAAAAGGAATGTCACACCAACCCCACCTCTCCAGCCCACCACCCTGCTTGCCCTTTCTACAAACCTTTGTTAAAATTAGGCAGTTGCCTAAGAGAAGGATGGCCGGTTGGTAAGCACCCTGAAGGCATGAGTCTCTTCAGTAATCTTATTGATGACCCATAAAATAGAGTATGGCTCATGAGCACAGTTCATGGCAAAACATCCATAATGAAACCAGGATTTTATTTGGAAATGCTTCTCTCTGTCAGCGAATAAGCAACATTACACTTCTTTGGAAAATGCTATTGAATTGGAGATGGGTACTCTTTTAAAGGAGTCCTGCTACAGGGTAGGAGAAACTTCTTGGATTTCCCCGAAGAAGATTAAGGGCATAAATTCTGGCTCTTCCTTTAGTGAGCAGCTCCATTTCTTGCATGATGATAAGGTAGCCAACCAATTTGTCTCTGCTGATTCTTGGACTATCACCGGTCATGAGAGCTAACCTGTGTTGGCAAGATGCACGCTGTGTTTACAGAGCTATCATCACCCTGCCAAGACTGGATTGGCAGCGGCATCATTTCCACTTCAAATTATCGGCTCTGGGGAGAAGAAAATCCTGAACCCAGCTGAAGAGTCCTGAAGCTACCATAAATCTATTCGGATGATTCAAAGATAGATTTCGATAAGCTCATTGTTTCTACGGAAAATCATTTAACGTTTCTGTAGGGGCTCACAGTTAACATGTTGATCTCACGTTACTACCTTAGTGAGCTCTGAGACAGCCAGGCCACCCAGCACGCTTGTCCTCGTTTTCTGGGAGAGGAAAGAGGGTCAGCGAGGGAACAACAGATTTGCTGGTGATAACACACTGACTCGTGGAGCGTGGATACAAATTTAGGTCTCATCTCCTCGTGGATTGTTGTTGCTTCATCGACAAGTTTCAGGCGTGTCCATTCAGGATTCACTCGTTGACATTAATTCCTTAAAAAAGAAAATTTATTCTGGATGACATTGTGAAAGGCATCAAAGGGAGAGAAAGCATAATAGAGGTATTTTCTGGTCTTTATTTATAATCTCTTTGAGTAGCCAGAATGAAAAGGGAAGTATAGTAGCCATGTTAACAATGCTGCTTCTTTAGAAAACTCTTTTTATATTCCTATGACTTTATGAGGAATAGCTAAAGTGGTGTGGCATGGGGCAGTGGGGATGGGGCCTCTAAGTAAGCAAGTGACTATTTTGGCTTTTTGGTTGGAAGTTGATGAATCTTGTTCGTGTGTTACATATAGACTGCTAAGCAATGTCATTTGCTAAGTCATTTGCTCAGACATGTAGGCACCTGGCCCTCAAATATCCAAACTACATGTGTAGGGAAAACTAGATACTTATCCATCTCAAATACTCATCTTTCTCAGAAAATTGATAAAAAGGCTATTTTCATTGCCATAGTCAACTAAAAAGGCAGGATATTCAAGATTGTTGTATCTTGTAATCCAGAAGTGAATCTGGAAGTTCAAAGTGATCCTGCTGTCCTCCTGGCTCTGGAAAGATCTGACGCTTTGGTCTGTATAGATGGGCTGCTTTCATTTGGTCACATGAAGTTTATTTTTGATAACAACAGCAAACAGTCAAGTGAGAAATTCACACTAAGTTAATGATTTGAAGGAATTCACTAATACTTTTTTATAGGTGAGTTAAACTTTGTATATGTGTATCATGTATATATATTATATACACATTATATATATATAAATATATTATATATATATATATATATATATGACAGTTCACGGTAGAGAGGGTGACAAGAGGCAACTCTATGAAAAGGAGATCCAAATCTTCTCATTTCCAGTTCCAGGAGGCTGGCTTCCCAGCAAGGTAAGTAATGCTTCTCTATTCCCAATTAGCTGTATCCTTACAATAAGCCTATTGTATCCATACAAGAAACCCCTCCTAAATTAACTAATCTTCAATGGGTCTCTTTCTTTTAATTAAACAAGTCTAGCTGAACAGCATCCCATCAATGTGCATATTTTACTTATTTATTTATAAAGATTTTATTTTTTCAAGTAATCTCTACACCCATTGTGGGGCTTGAACTTGCAACCCTGAGATCCAGTCACATGCTTCACCAATCAAACCAGGCAGGCACCCCAAATGTGCATATTTTAAATGTCTTTGAGACAGGAGGCTAAAAATATAGGCAAGTGACATTAAACTATGAATGGGACAGTGGAGAGTTATTTGTGTTTAAACAAATTCACAGAGAATAGAAGCTTGTTTGTTAGGTGGCCAAATGGAACTAAGGAAGATTATTGAATATGGGGGCAAAGCCCTATAAGCTCTTCCCTTAATATCAAGAAGAACAAGAATTCTGTTCACTGATGGTCTCACTCAGCGGAAACCTGTAGCTCTCTCCAAAGCCTCTGCCCACAGAGTACATTGCACTGAAATGCATTGAATGTTAGAAGAGATCTTCATTTGGCTGGCATTTCATTCCAGGGGCTGGACCCATGCATCAAATTTAATGTGTATCTTTGACACTTTGTAAGTGTGAGACAAATACTGTATAGCTAATTATTTCCTCAGGAATTATTATGAAATAAAAACGGTGGCATTGACAAAAACACGATGGCAAATGGAAGTTTCAAAGTTCCACAGCAAAAGACCTCATTTTGTCCTGTCAATGAGATTTCAGTTTGGAAGATGCAGTATTAGATGAGAAAGGCTTTATGATAAGAAGTCACTCTGAGGCCAGCAAAGGAAGAAGAGTGGGTAGAAGCAGAACAGCAGAAAACTCAGGCAGATTTTGGGCTGTGGAAGAGGGTGAATGGTTTCAGTCCATTTCAAGCTACAGACTAAATGGTTGGCTGTCTAAAGCAAATATCAAAGCTTCTGAATTTCAGTGGCTTGATTGTGAACATTTTTTTTTAATCCAAAGGAACACAAGCAAAGTATTGTTAGCTAAGGAGATAGAACTCAAAAATATTGTTCCTCACATTACTGAACAGCATTCTAGGTCAAGGATGTTCCTTTAAGGAGGATTTGTTTAAAGTAATTTCTCTGCTTTAAAAGATTGATTTACGATTTTAGTTACAAGAACAAAAGGAATCAAACTGGCTATTTGACGAAAATAGGCAAAACTAGCAGGTTATTGAATAATTTCTACTACAAGTTCTACTGGCTTAATGACATTAACATAACTGAATAGAACAAAGGCTGTGGGTTATGGTCAAGGATTATACAGAATACATTTGATGTGATTGGATTATAAGTAATACTCATTGTTAAGTTCATAAAGTAATGTTCTCTAACGAGGGACATTTCTCACTGTATTCTTTCTCTTTTTTAAAGGTTTTATTTATTTATTCATGAGAGACAGAGAGAGGCAGAGACACAGGCAGAGGGAGAAGCAGGCTCCCTGCAGGGAGCCCGATGTGGGACTCCATCCAAGGACTCCAGGATCACACCCTGAGCTGGAAGGCAGGCGCTTAACTGCTGAGCCATCCAGGTGTCCCTTCTTACTGTATTCTAAACTTAGTTGCTTTAAAATATTTTTTTTTAAGTTTTATTTATTTGAGGGGGGGAGGGGCAGAGGGAGAAAAGTGAGAGAATTCCAAGAAGATTTCCTACTGAGCTTGACACCCGTCCCAGGGCTCCATCCCACAACCCTGAGATCCCAACCTGAGCTGAAATCAAGACTCAGGAAGCTTAACCGACTGAGCCACCCAGGTGCCCCAAGTTGCTTTAAAAATTCTTAAGAAAAAAAAAAAAAATAAAAAAAATAAAAATTCTTAAGAAAACTTCCACCCAACAGATACTGGAGGGTTTATTTGTAAGACCCCCCCACCCCCATAGCATTTTTGCTAGCTTGTGGGAGGATGGGCATTTTGGAATGTGACCTTCAGTCTTTTTTCTGGGTCCTATCACACTAATCTACCAGACCCTGAAGTCAGTTCATTTTGGAAAAAAGAAAAAACCAAAACCAAAACCAAAACCAAAACAAACAAACAAAAAAACACAAAGAAACAAAAGAGACAAAAAACAACCACTTCACTACATAGCCATTCTTTTAGGCTGGGCTAAATCTCTCACCTTTGACTTTATTCCAATGAAAGTAAATTTCAGTTCTGAACTCCTAATTTCTACTGAGAATAAATGACTTTTTAAAAAAGCTGCTACTGGGAATTCAAAGTGTTATCCAACCTCTGTGGATTGTTAGTTGGTAGAAGATCTGTATAACAGGCAGAAATGTTAGATTCTATCCTTAGATTGTAAGAGCTGTTTGTATGCTAGCCAGAAACTAAACACAACTGTTTCTCTCGGAACAAAATGTACCAAGAGTTATTTTTCATCTTCATTGTGAAGAGAGAGGCATTGCTGAAAATGAGGATCACATATACCTTTGGGAAGCAATGGCATTATCTGAGTAAGCGGAGATTGGTATTATAGCTTTGTTAACGAAACGGGCTGGACATAAACCACCGCCACCACCACCCCCTTTTATTCTATTTATTAAAAAAAAAATTAGAAAGTTATTCTGTGGTGTGGAGCAATGTAAAAATGTGTCAGTGTTGTGATTATATACGTCATATACATTATACATAATATATATCCATATATGCCTGTGGATAAAACCTATTTAGAACATTCTTTGATGCTAATAATATTAAACTATCATAATGTTTAATTATTTCAGTTTGTTAGGCCTAGAATGAGCATTCTGTTCTTAAGTACAGATAGCTGGTTCCAGCTTATATATTCAGAATTCCCTTCATAAGAGTAAAAAGAATTTTGGTCACTGATTTCCTTTCTTAATTGAAGTTTCCAAAAGACACTAGATTTTGCTATTTTCTCTTCTACTTGCCAACCTATGTGTAGGAAAGTAATAATAGAATTAGGTACAAAACGCAAGAAAAATTCTGTAGAGAAGCAATTTCCTTGAGTCTTAAATTGAATTAAAATTGTTACCTATTCTCTCAACCACCAGTATGGCCTCCTAATTGACATATTATCCATGAGCCAATTTTGACTTTCCACATCGATTCAAACACTCTCATTCACTTAGTTGAAAAGTCCATGTCTGCTCCAAAACCATTAGACAAAGTACAGACTTGTTTCCCTTAAAACTAATTTCTGGCAATTTAAAAAGTCTGCCCATTAAACTAATAATAAAAACAAAAGAGTTGAAACATTGTCTGAGGAATGGATCATAAATTCTTATTCTGAATTGTGTTTGGAACAAAAAAGTATACATCCTGGAATGATCAAACATCCAAAGGAATTCAGTAAAACACAAGTATCATAGTTTGGATCCTTTGAGTTGAAGGAAAAAGAACCTTAAGTAAAAAAGGGGAAATTATCAAGGTGCCTGAGTTAACTTAATAAGGAACCTAAGGACCTGAACTGACTGGGTATCCATCTGGACTTACACCTTTGCCATTTTTCTCTTCTTCTGCAGACAGGTAAACTCTGTACGTCACAGTGAATTGACCTCTACAGATTGAGAGGCATCTCTGGCCAAAGATCCAGGAGAGGCAACTTCACTGGTCCATCTGGGGTCGTGTGACCACCCATGGCCAGAGGCACAGAGGCCCCCAGTTGGCCTGCCAATGCCCACTCCAGAGAAAGCAGATGTTCCTCTGAAGAGGGCTGGGAAAGGACTCAGAATGTGTCTAGTGCAGTGCAACTTTCATCAACACATCCCCCAAGACTGCCTTCCATTAAACAAGCATTTATCTGCATTACAGGTAAATACAGTTATTTTCTGATGCATCTCTTCCCACTCCTTACTTCACATTTTATGCTCCAACAACAAAGAATTGCTTGCAGCTCCATCTCCCCATCCCCTACTTACCACCCACATTCCCCAACACAGTCAATAAACGTCACACTTGTGTTCCTGTAGCCCTCTATGCTCGTAATGCAGTTCTTCTTGTTTTTTAGGAGTCATGCCGGATGTCACTGCTTCCAGCAGAGCTTCCAGTCCTCTTTTACTTCCTGGGCTGCTTATCTCTTCTTTCTTTATGCATCATAACATTGTGCACGGAAATCTCTATCATCTTCCCACTCCATTGTCTGTGATTTACTGTTTAGGTTCTGACATCTTTATAACCCCAGACGGAGCCTGGCCTATAGTGGGCGCTTCGAGACAGTTGAATGAAAAGTTTTCTTTTAGCTAATAATTGACTCTCTAGAGTCAAAAAAAAAAAAGAGTGCATCATTACGTGAGAAGTATTGTCTGCATGCACCCCTGAGAACTGTTAACTTGCCAAAGAATTAGATGTCAGGAAGTTCTAATCAAAGTCTTCCTTAGGACCAAGGGTCAGCTCACCACTTGAGACATGCCTGCTGTTTACCTGGTGCCCTAACCAGTTTAACTTCCTCTTAAAATGTCTGGGGGGCTTGCTCTCCCATCCTTTCCGAGGCAGTTTGGATTTAGTGAAGTAATGGGCAGAGCATCAATTTATGAAATCATTTTATTTTTTTCTGCACAAAACAGTTTTGTAGAGGCAATCTCATTAACTGTATCTTGTGTCCTCTATGGACTTGCAACTTTAATTTACAAGGTTCACCTTGATTTTTGGTCCTCCGGTCATGTATATTTTTTTCTTAGCCTCAAAGTTCCTTGCTGTACTGCGGTCCTAAAGGGTTTGACTTCACATCTCCCACCCTAGCATTAAATGCTTTTCTTTCTCCGCAACCCCCACCCCACCCCACCCCTTGACATTTTATCAGGTCCCAGGGAAACGTTGGCTGAGCCTAAAAGGAAATTTACGAATGGTTGACTCTGGTTCCTTTCAGGTTACGGGAGGAAGGGATACAAGAGCATTCCCTCAGATAAAGAGCTTTAAGTTGAATTTCACCTAAAAAAAAAAAAAAAAAAAAAAAAAAAAAAAAAGGAACCACCACCACCACCACCAAACCAGCAGCAGCAGCAGAGCCTCCAGGACCGCCTTTGGGTACGCTGGGGGCCGGCAGCCCTGCAAGTCCTAATAAATGAAGGAGTATCTCCGAAAGGAGATCACTGTGGGGCTGATATCGATCAGGGGCGGCCGGTGTGTTTGCCTGCGATTGTTTGGGGGGTGGTTAATTGAGTGTCAGTCTCGGCCAGTGTCGTCTCGCTGGCGCCGGGTGCTTTTGGATCTGCTAATTTTCGTTAAGTGTCTCTAGCCGGCTCCTCGTCCCCTGTCTACCCCGGGGAACTCAGCGGCTCGCACGGATCAAGTCTGTCTGTCTGGGCTTTATCGATCCCGGGGCGGGCGGCTCCGGCGGATGCGCCCAGGGGGGGTGGGAGGAGGCCGAGAGCAGACCCCACGGCCGGCCGCCCCCTCCCGGGCTGCAGACGGAGCCCCCGCCGCCGCCGCAAGGGGGCCGAGGCCCCGAGAACGCGCGGCGTGGCCCGGGAGGGCTCCCGCAGGCGACCGCGCCGTCCTCGCGTGCTTCGGCGGCCACAGCACGAAGAAGCCACGGGCCGGGGGATGCCGGCCCAAGTCTGAGCGCAGGTCACGGACGCGCAGGCCTCCGCGAGGGGGAGCGCGGGAGACGGCGGCCTCGCGCTCCGCAGCCCCCGACGCCGGCCGGCGCCGCTCGGCTCGCCGCCGCTCGCCGCCGCGGGGCAGGTCCCTCCCGGCCCCCTCTGGGCCCGCCCCCTGGCTGCGGAGGTGATTGACAGGAGCCCGGCGGCCACTCAGACGGCGCCGGCGCCGCCGGGGGCGGGGCCGGGGGCGGGGCCGGGGCGGGGCCGGGGCGGGGCCGGGGCGGGGCGCGGTCCGGCCGGCTCCCCGCGCGGGGCGCTATTTACGGCGCGGACCCGGGCAGGCGGAGGCGGGCGCAGGCTGGAGCTCGCGGCCGGCGCTGTCTGCGCGCGCTCGGGGAGCCTCTGCCTTCGCACCGTGGCCGGCTGAGGGGGAGCGAGACGGGGAGCCCGCCCGGGACCGCGGCGCCGGGCGGAGCCAAGGGGCGCGGCGGCCGCGCAGTCGGGCCGCCCAGGTCCTGTGGGCTCGTGGGCGCCCCTCGGGCCGCGGCCCGGGCCCTCGCCCTCTCGCCGACGGCGCCCGCCGCCCCGGGGAGCACCCATGCCCCGCGCGCCCCGGGAGCCGTAGGTTGCAGCTGCGCCGCGGCCGCGGGGGGCGTCAATGGATCGCCATTCCAGCTACATCTTCATCTGGCTGCAGCTCGAACTCTGCGCCATGGCCGTGCTGCTCACCAGAGGTGGGTGCCCGCCGGCCGGCCGGGGAGGGCGCGCGGGGGTCCCGGGGCGCCGGCGCCGCGGCCCCTGGGAGGCGGCTGCGCGGGCTCTGTGGGCGGCGGGCGAGGCTTCCCGCCGCGCTGGAGCCCGCAGGTCGCGACAAGTTGCCGGGTCCGCGGCCGCCCCTCGGGTGGCCCCGGGGCGGGCGCGTGGAGGTGGAGCCGGACCTCGGGGCGGGCGGGCGGCTGTCACAGCGTTTCTCTAAGTCCGTCGGCCGTGAGCTGCTGAGCGTTTGCAGCCGGGGCGCGCGGGACCCTGCCCCGGGGGCGCGGAGCTGGAGCCGGGGAGCCCGGCCGCGACTGTGCCCTGGGTGGGTGGGTGTCCCTGGGAGCCGGCGAGCCTGAGAGCCTGCCTGGGCCGCGGCGGGTGCCCAAGCGAGTGTCTCCGTGCGCAGGTCGGCCTGGCTGCGTGGCTCCCCGGGCTCCGTCGGGCCCCCTTTCCCCGTCACCTCCACACTTTACACACTACTCCCCCCCCCCCCCAGAAAAAAGAGAAACAGGAAAGAAAAAGGTCAGTTTCCCCCCACACCCCCCGCAGGCTTTCCCTCCTTTAGGTCGAAATAACCCAAACTTCTAGATTTCAAGGATTCCCCCGCCTCCCCCGCCACGAACTCTACCTACTGTTCTGTGAACAGATAATTTTTTTTTTTTAAATGGGAAGCATTATTTAGCTTTTGCCCTCCCCCCCCCCCCCACTTTTTCTCTAATTGCCATGTAGCAGGCATGAGGTTAAAGGATAAGCTGGCCCGGGGAGGATGATGTGCTCCAGTATTTATTTATTTTGGGAGGAAGGGTGTAATTAACCCTAAATAACAGCCCTGCCAGCCTGCAGAGGGGAGCCTCCTGGCCCTGTCGAAGGCCCGCGGAACAGGGAGGGACTCGGACTGACATGAAGTCACAGATACCGAAACTATGTGCCTGATAATGATATAATTAGGGGATCAGAGATTTCTGACTGCTGCGGACTTCAAAAGCTTTAAAAGAAGCCAGCAGTCTCTCCTGTAGCCATCTTGACTAAAGCAGACATTTTTGTTTAATCACTACATACAGTAACGAGAAAAGGGGGGGAACAGAAGAGCATTGTTCACTGTTTCCAAATACCAGTCCCCTTTCTGGGCCCTTTTGCATGCCACAGGAAGAAACTTTATGAAACAACAGAAATATAGTTTTAATACAGTAATACAAAAGTCCATTCAACTTGTTCAAATGTGGCTCCAATTAAAGAAAAAAAAAAGTTGTTAGAACTTTCGTAGTTACCTGTCAAAATTTTATTGGACTGTTTTAGGTCATTGAAAATATAGTGTTTTAAATAGGCTCTCATCAGCATTTTCCTTTTTTTGTTTTTTTTCCTTCAGTGCTCTTTTTCTGCACTGGGTCTGAAGGTGAATAGGATCAAAATGGACATTGAGTCTGTTTTATTTCTACTTTAAATCTGTCTATGGAATTCGTCAAGATTAGGGGATATGTAGCCATCACCACAGGAGACCTGGTGAGCTTTGTGAAAAAAAACTCAAGTAAGCTTGGCAGGAGAGGAAACCTTTCAAAAGCAAGAGTTCCAACGTGAAGGGCTTCCTAGAGAGAGGGGACTTGGGCCCGGACTCCGGACAGAGAGCGCGCAGGTTTAAGATAGGAGCAGGACCTCCAGATTTGGACAGTTAAACTCAGATTGCCAAAGATCTGTGATTAGCTGGCAGCTTTGGGGTTTTTTTGTTGTTTTAGAACGAAAGCATTAGCAATGTCTGATGAAAACTGAGCACACCATACAGTGGCCTGGAATCTGGACAGATAATTAAATGAGACACCTTACTCAGGCGTTCACATTCACTCACATTCACGGAGAGGAGGAAGAAAGGAGAGGGTAGGAAGAGGTCTATAAAACCACAGTTCCTGGTGTTTGATTTCAGAGCAGGGATTTCAGTAATAACGACACAAAACTTCAGTTTGGAAAGCTGGGAAGAGGTGTGCGCGTTAGTTCAGTTTACAGTAGCTTTACTTGTGACATATGACAGTGACCAGAGTCCGCTGGGTCAGATCCGGTATTAGTGATATAGCTCTGAGACCCCGATCACTTGAACTAGAAATTGACGCTAAAAGCCTTAGAGCATGCATTGCAGCAAAATGTTACCAGCGACTTGCAACTCACCAAATAAGTTTTATAAAGGAAACTTTTAATCACTTCCTGGAGAAAAATTTGAGGTTTCCTTAAGGATTTTTCATTCAACCAGCAGAGGATTTTCAGTTTCAATGTTTCCCCTTTTAGATCCCACGTTGAATTACATGTAAAACCAGGGAGTTAAGGGGAGGAGAAGTTAGCTTTGCCGTTTTTTTTTTTTACACCAGCCTCCCCTCCTCACCCCCCCCCCCCCCCCAGTTTTATGACTTTCCATTTGGGCTGAAAGAAATTGACTTTGGCAAGCAAACCACTAATTGTAAACTGCCTAGTTCCTGTTTTACAATATACTGACTAAAAGCTCCTCTGCATGAAAAGATCTTTATAGGCAAAGTTTGCCTTTTCTAGAGAGGTTGCAAATAGCTGCCCAGTTTCATAGTTTTAAAACCTCCTGACCGGAGCAATTTCTAGATTGTTGTGTTTCTAGTTAATAACTTTATAAGGTGTTAGCTAAAGCTCTTAAATCTTGGCACAGCCCTTTAAGGTAGTAAACAATTCAGTAGTTCCGATCAAATATTTATACTGACAAAATCAAAAAGCCTAGCATTTTTTATGTTGTATGGTCACATCGGATTAAAATGAATAAACAGTGTAATTTGCCTTACGGTAGGAGAAGTTATCATGATGATTATTTCAGATATATATATATATATTTTTTTTTTCTTCCAGAAGTCATATTTTGAATTACTTGCTAACTCATCAGTAATCACAACTGAACTTTGATTCTCTGCAGTGGGGATTAATACATTTCTAAAATTACATTTAACTGGATTGAAATGTAAGCACCGGTTTGCATAGAGGGCTCTTCCGAGGCTACCCAGGCTGCCATTGCAGGCACTCAGCTGAATATTCTAAAAGTTCGTGTGCCTTCGATCTTAAGATCTAG